GTGATCAGCAGGGAAATCGATATGACTTTGAAATGCATCGGCGAATTAGAAGCACAGCGCAGGCGCGGCGCACACCATGGCAGGGATTGTTAATGCAAAGCGCTTTAAATTCGAGTCATCAGCAACAAAAGACTGCTGCAAAAGAAAGTTCTACACGAGTTCGTTTTGAAGGAAGTTACGACCACTGAATCCTAAAAATACCCTTATATTGAAATTTGATTCAATTGGGGCAGGAACACCGGAGAAACGAGAAATACTTTGCGATAACAAGTTTCTCCTCTTCCATGTGTAAGTTAATATTTCCATGCGCACACGTTAACAGAGTGGGGTCGTGTCAAGGCCCCCGAAAAGATGCCGTAGAAATATCCACAATGTACTAACTGTCAAGCGGCCATGCTGCATCGGTGCCCTACACGCAAGATGGTGGCCACAATGGGTAGGTCATGCTGGGCCCCTACGCGTCCTTCTCCCTCCAGTGCGACGTCTCAGATCCATGAGAGCATCGTCTCTTTTCATAGCTGCCCGCACTCTCTTCTCTCAACCACTTCTCACCACCTGCCTCAGAGCGCTTTACATAGTTGATCTGCGCGTCCACCCTCACGAAGGGTACGAGCGTTTGTTTTTTCTATGGCATGCGTTGTGAGCTCCAGATGTTAGTGACAAAGCGCCGTCCCGTGAGTCTGAAGGGTTTTGTGAGTTTGGCAGATTTGCACTCTTACCTCGAGAGAGGATTTCCGTCTACAAAGTGGACTGCTGCCCCAAGTCGCTAACAATACTCTCTTTTTTTCTAAACGAAATGGTGATTGTCATCCCAGATGTACGACTTTCCGGTCTAGACGTACGGTGCACTCACCAGTTCGCTTGATCCTTGCGCCTAGTTTTCTCATGTGGCTTTTGTTTATTGTTTCTTTGTTATCGCACTTATGAGAAGTGACTCTTTCTCAAAATTTTGTATTTTAGATTCGAAAGAAGGTCGTAAAGTGGCGATGTCTTCGGACCGCGTTTCGCTAGGGGACAACTACTATATACAAGTCTTGCTTTCTGACATTCGGTGTTCGTCGAGCATCATGATGTCATCCTGCTTATCTTTTACAGTTTTTGCGTGCCGCTATCGCGTCGACCCCCACGCGGCCTGAACACTGCGCAGGACCCAGGCATTCAGCATGAGTACTCCCCTAACAATCACTATTTATATGTTACCTTCGCCCTCGCTGTCAGCCATCGAAATAAGCTGTGGTAGGTCTGTGGAGTGGGAACTGCATATTTATCTCCCAAACTGTAACATCCAGCATTCTTCTAGATTCCGTGACTTAACCGAAATGAATATGATTGCCTATTTACATAAGTGAAATGCTATCATTCATTTACATTCACCATTATTTAGAACCCCGAAAGGATTAGCGGTTTAATGAGTTTGGGCTTTCTTGATAGCATTAGAAATGAAACTTATCATTTGCTGAAGACTTGATTGAGTTTATGCAATCGACTGCTATTAAGTAAGCTGGTCATATATGATACAATGTGCACGTACCACTACAAATAGAATTTGTAAGTAGGGACGCTCTAGTGTCAGCGCAAGCTGCGCGGAATCGACGACTTTTGCGTTCTGACGCGCCTTATCAGCCTTATCAGTTGTAACCACTTTCATCACCCACCAACAATGTCCCGTCCCACCCCACATAACACTTGTAAGTATGGTTGCTCTGGTGTCAACGCGAGCCAGGTAACGGAATCGACGACTTTTGCGTTCTGACGCATCTTATCAGCCCTTATCAGTTGCTATCGCTTTCATCATGTACCACCAATGTCCCGGGACCACCCCACATAACACTTGTAAGTATAGACGCTCTAGTACCAATATGAACGACAAAACGAAATTGGCGATGCTCGCTTTCTAGCCCCTCTTATCAGCTATTATCAGTCGTTATCAGTTCCTATCACGTACCACTTGTGTCCCCATCCCACCCCCTATAACATATGTAAGAACCACTGCGCTATCGTTACTGTGACTCGAGCTATGAATTTCGTGACACAACGGACGCACACACATACACACGCAGACAGACATACTTTATTTCTCCAAGATGAAATTCTGCTAAATTTCGTATTCCAGCTCTCGACCTTCGCAACCTCACTAAAATGGTTACTCGTCACAGGAGTATTCAACCTAGCAGTTTCCCAACCACCACCTATGGGATTTCTTGAAGAGGGTATTCATTATTTACGTTTATTTTGAAGATGTGACTCACTAGATTGACGCATTTCCATAACGAAAAAACCGCTCGTTTGTAGGCTTGAAGCGAAGAATTACGGTAAAATGTGTCTGCAGCAGCGGAGTACGTGCGCATGCGCAGGTAGTAGTCAGGGGCCTGAGGGAGCGAGATGTGGTCTTTTGCGGCCTAAGGCTGCTTTCATAGTTTGCGGTCCGTGCGTCCGTGCGGACCGCGCGGAGAGTGAAAAGCGTCAACACGCGCTCTGGCGCACGATGCGTACTTGGCGCGCAGTCGGCGCCTTCCGATCGATAATCCTAATCGGTGCGTTTCCGCTTGATAATCCTAATTTCAATACCCAATTTTTCAATTTTTTTTTTCTATTTTTTGACGTTTTGTGTGCCGTTTTGCTTTCGCTTGCGTTTTAGCTCGAAAACTTTTCTTTTTTGTATGGATTACTGCTTTTGCTTACTAATGAACTTGGGCTTACTGCCACTTTCAAACACACTGTATGAACCTAACCATTCTAGGACAGTTGAAAAGCAATGATTCACACGAAAAAGAAAAAGATTCTCGCCAAAAAACACGAGCAAAAGCAACACGGCACGTGGAACACCTGAAAAACAAAAGGAAATGTAATGAAACCGAATTTATCGATCGGAAGTCGCCGACTGCGCGCCAAGTACGCATCGTGCGCCAGAGCGCGTGTTGACGCTTTTCACTCTCTCCGCACGGTCCGCAAACTATGAACGCAGCTCAAGGTGCGAATCGCAGTGCACTGGGCTTGCCAATCCCTTCTGAGCTCTGCCTTCTCCTGCGCTCCGCCCCAGTAGTAGCGTTAATCGATTACCATTTTGAAAAAGTATTCTACTTCCAGCGGCGGTATCCTACAACTTTCCTGTTAAATGAGTTAACCAAACCATGGTGTTTATCTTCGGTAGGATAGTGGCTCTAAGCTCAACTCTTGTAAACGACCCTCCTCTTACCATTAGTTGGTTGCTAGCTCGTCCATTATCGGAGGTCAACGGGCAAAGAAAGGGGTCCCATTTTGCGCCTTCTTGACGGATTTCTTTGCTTTTTTCGCCACTGGGCATTATTCAGCATCCCCACTTCCACTGTGGAGCCAATCTTATCGTAATCTCCTAATCCAAGAAATATTGTGAGGCGTTTCATAGATTCAGAAAGAAAAAAGCCAAGTGAGCAGGAGATCTTAGACCCACGAGGAAACGATCCTTGATGGCAGAAGCACGATGAAACTCTACAGACATGTATTTGTACTGTATCAGTTAAAGAAAAAACGCAAAATCATATTGAATGGTTGCCTCCGGCACAAGCACAGCAAATCATGGGAGCTAGGGGGTACGCTTCGTCGGCATGCGACATATCACACTTTTCGCTGACAAAATGTCCATTTGGGGAAGGGGGCAAGTATGGCACGAACCCTCCCCACCCTTCCCTCTTCTAGCGAATCCTCGAACGTTATCCACCCTGCGTGCCGATGGAATAGTACTACTGCAACGAATTCCAAGAGAGCCATATGCTTGACCGATACCATACCCACTCTTTCAGAGTACCTCAGGCTGGGAGACTTTGATTCTCCTCCTGGGTTCAGTTCACAAGAGCTGGGCGATCACTGAAGCCAAATGTGTGGTGTTTCAAGTTTAGATGACCTGACATGAGGAGGAGAACTGCAACGCACAAATCTCCCCCCTCCCCTCTCCCTCCCAAGCTCCCACGATTCCAGTAACTTGGGTCGAAGGCATTTATGTATGTGATAATCTTGCAGTTCCACCTTTTGTGATCCGTACAGCATCTGTGTTGGTTTTCATCATTCGCAAATTGCGCTCTTATACTTTTCGCCGTACTTATGACACCTATTTATGAACCGCCACGCCAAATGTGTGAGAGCTGGTACAACCTTGCTCCTGTTTATATTTCTTGTTGATCTTGTTGCTAACCGTTTTGGGTGCTTCTGGCTATTCCTTCAGCCTGGTGTGTGCTCTCACCCATCATTTAGCCGTAAATTTCTTTCTTACCTACCATTCCAGCACAGTTTTCCACTTCGGGTGCATTTCTTTTCTCCTCCTCAACCTAGAATTAAGACACACACTCATTGCTCGAAGCAAGCCTAAGATTTAAGCCTAGGCCGCTGAATCGTGAGTTAGCATAGGTCATGGTTGCAAATATGACTCAAGCCGGCCGAGCCTAAACTCAAGCTTAAGCTCAGCTCTGGCAGCTGTCACTGACCTAATAGACCGAGCAGCTGAACGTCTTCTTTCAGTAGCCACCCCCCCCTTTGCCGCCCATTCTACGCTGATGAAAGACCCAGCTTCACTTTCGACTTGACACCAGTAACCTTCGCCGGCATTTACTGGTTATCGGGATCTAAGATAGGCTTCCTTCCTGGCAGAGACTTTTGTAGAGGTTATCAAACTGTAAATCACGTGAACTTTAACCCCACTTAGCGCGAGGGTCTCTCAGGTGAAAGTGGTAGCGGTTTCGAAAAGAACAAGACGGATTTGTTTCGCCGGAATAGATAATCAATGTTGATATGGCGATGACGATCAAAAGCATTTTCATTCTTTTTATCACCTTGTTAAATTCTTTGCTCTATTAATGATAGAAGTGCTGGTAGCGAACGTTCTCTAGTTTAGACTTCTCAATGAGGCCGCTTTTCATCTGAGTGGCCAATATTATGCCAATAACTACCCACCCAGAATTTATCGCTGATGTCGTTGACATGGGCGGGCACTTCCGCGGCCTTGATAGTCTCCCTCATGCACGTCTAGGATGGAGACATCATCGACCACTTCTCGACCAACCGCACCAGCGTGGACAGTGCCGCGTCGCACCGTTCGGCCCGCCACCAACCCACCCTCCACGCATAGGCGATGCCGTTTCCGCACCCATGCCGCACCTCCTTTTTCTTCCGGAAGAACAGTGATAGACATTACGCACCAGCCTACGCCGATTCCGCGACCATTGTTCGATCGTCCGAACTTTGCAGAGGTAAGAGAAATTTCGAGAAATACTATGTGGCTAATAATGTACCTATTTGATCGTTTTTGGTAGGGACTTTTTGTAGCTCGTGAACAGTCTCAATGCACATACCACCGCATTCTCAAAACCTGGTCAAGGCTACGAAAACGTTATTCAAATCCTGAAGAAGCACATGGAACGGAAATCAGGACGGCACTTATGTGAGTGTACTTTTTCATTTACTGAGCCTAGAATGATGGGCATACTTGTCCTGTATTCGCTTATTTATTGCGACCAGTCTGAATAAATCATCCAAGGAAAGCAGCGAATGACTTTTTTTTCGATCAAAAGGGCAAAAAATGAATTCCTGAAGAACGATTACTACTGCGATTATTTCCTCAAAGCCGGGATGCGCTTCACCGAAATCTTTTTCGAGTGAAATATGTGGGATTTCTTCAGAGTAGGGGAATTGCGCCTGCTTGGTAACCCATAAAACTGGCCTGCAGAGCCAATTTAGGTGGTGATGTTTGCCACGGAAGTATGCTCCAACCAATGAAGTGACTCTGAGGTGGTGAACTCGTTGCTTTGGCAAAGTTCGCCCGCAACCGCATGTTCCTTTCCTCAGTTACTAGACTGACATTAAATACTAATCATATCCGCGGATGCACCTTTTCCATCAGAAATGACGCCAGGCAGGAACATGGCGTACGCGCTTCATTTCATAGGCATTTCTGGTATGGAAGTCGAAGAGCATAGGTGCATCTTAGATGTTATCAGAATCGATCTCTTGTAGTACAATTTGTGATAGTTGTTTTTGAAAAAGCTCAAAGTTACAGTCTCACACAAAAGTGTGTTTTGGATCCTGGAAAGCTGAACCCTTCGTCAACAGGATGAGAAATGAGCTCGACCGCCTAATAAGAAGGTGAGCAATAAGCAGATCATTTGTCAGCTTGCCGCTGATGATTTATAAAAGAGTACGAGTTGCAAAGACCATCGCATAAGCGGCACCCTCACGAGAAGCTATGCAGGCAGATGATTTCTTCGGTGGATAAGACAGAGTTGTTCCACGTAGCTGGCATATGCTCTGTTTCTCCGGGTTGAAAGTGCCCAACTAAGTAAGGCCCATCGCTCCCTCCCCATCTACCCCACCAGAGAATTGCCAAGAGTGCTTCGACCGCTTTCTCTGATTCTTATTCCAGCGTGGCGAGTTTCTGCGCTCTTTTACCACCTAGGATCGTCGCCTGTTCTCTCTCTCTCTTCCGCGCTCAGGACCTCGATGCCCTCACACAGCTAGGAAACAAATGAAGAGACTCTTAATTTCAGCATTTCGACAGATCCCTTTCTTTTTTCCATTGTTGATCTACTACACACCTATGATTTCATTTTCACGCGCATGATTCACAGCAACTCGGTCGTGATGAACGCCTTTGAGCAATTCAATAAGGAAGGTAAAAAGTTAGAAGACCCTAAATGTTGCCGCACAGATCAAGTCAACACGTGAGGAGAAATTACTGCACTCATCATATTTTTAATACCTTTCCACATATAGAGGGCGGAAGTGGTGTAGTGGCAAGTGGCACGCTTACCACGCGAGCGGTCCGGGGATCAAATCCTGGGTCGTGAGTCGCCCGGGCCAACCAAGCCTTCCATCCCTCCGGGGTCGGTTAATTGGTACCAGACTTGTCTGGGAGGATAAAAACACTGACTTGTACATCGGCTGGCCCCCGCAAGTCATTGTATAGGCCACATCGCATTCAAACGCCACTACGAATGTACAAATGGAAGTAGAATGCGTGCCGCATCCCAAAAGGGATTGATCAACGGCAAATGCTTTATCCTTTATCCTTTATTTACATACAGGCTGAACAACAACCCATACAGTCTGCCACTTCATCCGAATTCAGCTTTGCTTGAAGGACTGAAGTTTGAAGAAGGCAGACGATTGGCCCGGCCGCCTGCTCTAGATCCTTCCGTATGCCGATGTGTGTTGAAATTCAATTCAAAACACCTTCTCAGTAAAATACGATAGAGGCATTAGCGCTACACGTAATTGACGCAACATCTACTTTGCACCTGCTTTATTGCCATTTGGCTTGCTGCTCGTCCATTACGTACTGTCGCCTAAACCTACACCCTGAAAAATACCGGACGAGTTTTTCGGCAGGCTGCCCACTTTTGAACCTACTAGTTCGTTGCGGGACCATGCTCCTCCCTTTAACATCACTTGATTCTGGCGCTTCCTTCGGCATTGTTGGAAGATGGGTAAGATTTGAGTGCGGTTAGGAGTGAGTCTAGCGAATCGAAAGTAAAAGAGGCAACTTAATTGTTTGTATATGCCACATGCATGCTTTGCATAGAATGTACATAGAAAATAATCCGCGATTTTCCGATGTTAACGTGTTTTCTGCGGTAGCTGATCGCCCACAACTTCTAACGCTTAGTTAGTAGAAATCGTAAACCCTGCTCCAAAGAAGTAGAAAAACGACTTGGATAACCTTCGATCATTCTCTCCTGACATTTATAATAGTATAACAAGCGCTTAGCGTCGTGATACGCTGCATAAGCGACCATACCGTATCGTAGTGTTCTTTGGAAGCGTGCATGGCCTTGTCCAAAGAGTTGTAGCCCATGTATACTTCCATTTGGGTCGCTATGCAAATATGAGCATGCCTCAGATAAATAATTACTCGAGCTAATCTTGGGTCTATTCCAGTTAGGGGGGGACATCATGATGCAGTTTTTCCAGAAAGCTAGGGTAACTCCGAGCCAGGGGGAGTGTAGCCAGTCTAGGGGGGGGTGAGGGCAGTCACTTGACATGCGTGAAAAGCTGGAATGTTCGAGTTCACACTAGTTCGCCGAGAAACTGCATCATGATGCCCCCTAACTGGAATAGACCCCTAATCTTTATGTTTAGGTAGCTGGTGCAATGTATGAGATTGATATGACCTTGACTGTACCTCAAGCTTCTCAAATAACTGCACATGGACGTAGGAAGAGGAAAATAATAGCGGATGTAAAGGCGAGATGGCAATCGACCACTATTCCCTATAGGTTTGCTATCAGCGACGGTGAGTGAATATGGATAAATGACATGAGAACGAGATTTTTTTTGTCTGCTGAGTTGTCTACGGATTTGAGACAGGATGAAGTGTTCTTCAACGGAATTTTGAGAGATTGCATATAATCTGTTGGGAATGTCTTCTTCTCCGGAGAAGAGAAGCAGGCACTTTGGAGGTTGTTTTCGCGAAGAAAAATATGAATAAGTTCTTCAGCCAAGAAGATTGGGTTGTTTTAACCCATAACGGACGGCCAGTGTATTTTTCGCGTGCGCCCATGTGGCGCACGCCGCCACCCAGGGTAGGGTTTATGTAGGCTTATGTGAACAGCAGGGGTAAGACGGGGCTAAAGTAGGTGTCGGAGTCTCATCATCCGAAAAAAGAGATTTCCGTTGACGACAAGTTCGTAGCCCGCCTTTCCGCTCTAAAACTAGGGTGCAAAGAATGAATGGAAGCTGTAGGTGACATTATCGAAAAATGCGAAACAACAACCCCGAGCAAGGATGTGGCTATATTTAGGGGAAGGGGTCTCGGGACGTGCGAACCATGGGTAAGCCACCCATCAAATAGTAAACTTATGTAAATTAAGACAAAATATGTAAAATTTATTGTAGGTTTGTCAAAAATCCAGCCGTCCAGGTCCTGGGAAGATATGTTATTCCACATTGCTGAGAGTATATATGGGTATATTAAGATTGCTAGAAACATTCCAAAAACAAAAGAAATAGTCGTGCGCCACCTTGTGGCGCACGCCGTCCGTTATGGGTTAAGAACAATCACCCCCCCCCTTCAAAATAATGCGACTCACCTCCTTGGAAAAAGTGACTATCACCCTGCCTTGAACAATGTTTGTATTCAGACTTCTTTCAGCAGCATGGCAATCACGTATACGTGCGGTTATGGCTAAATTCAGCAAAAATACATGTTTGCGATTTGTGGAGAACTCCGGCTCGGACTATATTCTCTTCAATCGAGGTGAAGGGTAAGAATATCTTTTCAGCCTAATCGCATAAATTGGGAATCGTAAATCTATTATAATTAGGAGTACAGCCCCTCCAGCTCCTATAGGTGGGCAGGGCTGCAAGTTCTATCCACAAATTACTCAATCGCCCTACGTGGTCAAGGCTGACTTCCTAAGAGAGTGTGTGAGGGATCAAATGAATCAAACAGAGGCTCCACTTTTTTAGATGCTACTCCCCCGTTGGAAGGCTTGGAGGTGCTCAGGAAGTTTCCATTGGCTATGGTTGTGAGACAGTAAGTATTTCAACGAATACGAGTCAATGAGTTCACAACTGCTTTGCTCACCTACTGATTTAGGACGGCATCATAAGCCACGAAATTGGACATTCGCTAGGATTTTATCACGAGCAAACTCGTTCGGACAGAGATAACTATGTGACGTGAGTTCATAAAGAATCGTTTTCTCTGAAAGAGGATTCCTCAGAAAAAAAAAGGAAATGTCCAAGAAATGGAAACACACCTACTGAAAAGGTAGGCGGCCACCTTGGAGTGATGCGCGTTTTGCAGCGGGACCGTGTGCCCCTAGCGGCCCAGCTGGGCCAAATCGGCGACGTTTGTGCAGCTACAATCACATATGATCTGTGAGTACAAGGAGTCTTGATCGCTGCTGAGTATAACAAGGAGTCTTTGATGCTGCTCCTGTCATCATCATCGCTTGCTCTTCATCTGGTAAAAGCGCTTCAGTTTAAGCGGTTGTGTCTTCTAGTTTCTAGGTTATGCGTTATCAATCGCAGGAATTGGGATTAGCACGCGCTAACGAGCTCTTCCTGATCGATGACTCGTTCAAAGCGGTGGTCAACCGAAAGGATCTAATCCTCGGGTTCCATACCCTCGCTCTTGGTATTTTCTTCATCACAATTTCTTTGACCACCTCTGCTATCATTGCCAATAGGCGACTATTTTTATAGTAAAATCCGTCACCATGGGGTTTTAATGGTTTTTGGATATTCTCGCAGTTGCTCTGTAAGAAATTTAGTTGCTTCGCACTGCTAGCTCTTCATGTTTCTATTATTACTTTCACTGAGCTACGGGCTTCATCAGGGCAACTTAGCCTGCTCTTGTTACGATTCCTCAGTTAGTGAAGTGATACGTGAATGTTGTTGCTTACCGAGATGCCCACCAACAACGGATCTCCTCGAAATAGTGTCTGGAGTAACAGCAGCAGAACCTGTGAAGTTCGTGCTCTACTGTGAGGCCTGCGAGTCATTGCAAGCAACCGTTTTCAGGGTTTATCCGAAAAACGCCGTTCCTGGTACCGAAGGGCAATTTGACAAACTTTCGCCGAGCCAAATCGTAGATTATGGTGTTCCTTACGACTATGGCAGTGTAATGCACTACTCAAGCATTGTGAGTCACATTTTCGTTCACAGCGTCCAGAAAATGCCCATCAAGGCGTGAAGGGGAATCTCGTAGAAAAAGAAAGAGGAAGTAGGAATTAATTTACAGGCATTCTCTAGCAATTCTGTGGCGAAGACCGTTGTTCCTCTTCAACCACAGTATGAACATACCATCGGTAGCCGAGTGGAGCCGAGTTTCCTCGACTACAAAGAGCTGAACTTGGCGTATTGCTCAAGTGCGTTTATTGACTGTGGTTTTATTAGGATGAGGATAGGAGTACTAGAATTAACTGATACCAGTAAAGAAACGATTTTCCAGTAAAATTGGATAGGTTCTACCTTAACCAAGCGCGTGGTGGGTAGAGCAGTATATGTTGTCGACTTCTTTTCGAGGTACCCTCTTGTCGCTTTCTCTACAGCCGAATCGGCTGCGAGGAACTGCGGTGGGGCCAGGATCGGTCCTATCGTTGGGACTTTTTGAAAAATTTTTACGACCCCCCTCCTTCATGAAAAGTTTTATACGACCCCTTCTTCACAACTTCTTTTTCCCTCAAAAATCACCGTCGAGCAGGGAGGTATAACTACCAAAAAAACAGCAAAATTTCCTATAACTT